AAACTGAACAAATACATTATCAGGGCAGATTATGGTTAAACAGTGCATAAAAACCAACAACCTACTTCTAAGGACTTTGCCTCCTCTTTAGCTTGTGGCCACTGGAAACTAACCCAGCAAAAATATTTCAGGATTTCAGCTAAGGGACACCAGGGAGACACAATACTCCTTATTTGGGTTATCCAGAGTGTGACTGTAACTCCTCCGTCTGCACACAAGATGTGAATCCCAAGGCCTTTTGATAAGAAACCACTGCCAGACTTCATCTATGTGAAATGTTGCTGAAACCAAGTGTCTGTCCCTTGGGATGCAAGGACTGCTATTACAGCCAAAAAACCAGCCTGAAATACCAGACCAAAAACCGTAGAGGAACTGGGTAACAACTGGAAGATTTTCAAGCAACACTCTACACAAAGCAAAAGCTGCAAAAGACTGGAGAGAAAGTTTGGACAGCACCTGACATGCAGCAGTGCAAAAGAACACAGCAAGAATCCACCTGGTTCTGCTAAGAGTGATCAAAAAGGACTGGAAGCATTAAAAATGGAATAAAAGTGTACAAGAAACAGCATCCAGGGAGCTAAATGTGCAGGGTCAGCTTCAGCGCTCTGACCCGACAGGTCTGCAGAGGAAAAAACAAAGGTGCTACAAAATTACATGTCAGCTTGGCATGGAAATGATGTCATTTTTCCTACAGACAAGGGTAAAGTTTAGGCAGACAAGCACTACCCATCTTTCAGCAGCAATTTACAATATTGTTATCATCACCATTTGCCCTCACTGCATCTCTCCAGGGGTTCCTCATGCTGCAGCTGAAATAACAGGGCAAAAGAGATCTGTGCACCTCAACCACGCTCAGACAAACCCCAACAACTGTGGGAAGGAGAGCACAAACAGAAAATACCGAGCAGGAAAGCCTAACGCGTGTGTTGGGACTCTCTCCTGCCAGAAACTTTGGGAAAGGACAGGGACAGAAAGCCAACCCAGGTAATTTTTAAAGCTCCTTGATGAACTTCTGGTCAGAGACAGCCTGGTGGAAACCCTCCAAATCACCTCCCTGACCTACCCAGTTTGTCAGCTCCCTCACACGCCTTCCCTCTCACCCCTTTCTTTCCCTGACTTAGCAAAGAGACAAACTGAACACAGAACGTAGCTTCAGAGCTGTTTTGGAATTAAAAGGTAATTCAAGGTCTGTATTAAGGTGCCCCTAGACAGAAGCCAGAAGTGAGGACACAATAACCAGCACAGCAAATAGCCAAGCTTGCACATAAAGTGCAAGACATCTATAAAACTGAAGCAAAGATGTATTAACCCTAAAGGCCAAGCATGAACAGGCTCCCTCAGCCTCCTTTTCTCTCTCAGTAATGCAGTTCAACAGCCTCATTTCACACATGGCAGGACCAGGGGGACTTCCTACAGACTCACAGAATAACCTGAGCTGGAAGGGACCCATCAGGACTTTCAAGCCCAACTCCTGGCCCTGCATAGGACAGCCCTAACAATCACACCATGTACCTGAGATCATTGTCCAAATGCTTCCTGACCTCTGCCAGGTTTGGTGCTGTGACCACTTCCCTGGGGAGCCTGTTCCAGTGACTGACCACCTTCAGGATAAACCTTTTCCTGGTACCCAACCTCAGCCTCCCCTGACACAGCCTCATGGACTTAATTACACCAGTGGTGGTTTCTCTCCATGTCAGAGCTCCCCTTGTTCAACAACTGATAATGCCCAGAGGCATCACAGGGGAGGGTATGAAGAACAAGAGCAGAAAGTTGTTACCAATTAGTGATCCTTCTGAAAAAAATAACCAACCTCCAAAGCCCTGCTTAAAGTAAGGAAACAAGCTGTTTCCTTTCCTTCAAGCCCGTGCTAAAAATAAGGGAAAAGGCATTTCCCAGAATGATTCCAGCTGCAGTAATGAAAGTGAAATCAGCCATGTCTTCTGCACACTGACGTGATTTTTTTACCACCATCGTTGTGTAATCACTTCCCAGATAAAACCCGTGAGCAATTTCTTACCAATCTGAACATATGATTTACAGACTGAACTGCTTTTCCCAGGTAGGTATTAAAGAGAAAAGTCATAAAGCATTTTTATCCCCAGGTGAAGTGTCTGAGGTATGTGGTGACTACAGACACTGAAGTAAGACAACCAAGGGGGCAGTTTAGACACATTGTGGAGAAACCAAGTTTTCAACACTGTTTCAGACAGGCTGGGAGAGGAAAACAGGGATCCCTTCAGAAATCACACTCCCTTGGCTTTTGGAATGCTCCTTGCCACGCTGAGGCTCGGTTCAGCAAGATGGCTGCCAGCAGCTGTGACAAAAAATGGCATCTAAAAAGTAACCGTGTTCCAGCTGCAAACTAACTTTTTCTGGTATCCTGCGTGGGTGAGAAAAACTTTGCCGAAGTAGAAATACCTTTTTATAAACACTGTTAACCTCACCCAGCTGCGCAACAGGGGTCTGGGAATGTCACTTCCACTGCAGACACGGAATGCCTGGCACACCTCGCTTGAACTGACCCGGCAGGGCCAAGCAGTTTTAGATTACAGGAGTTGTTTAAAAAAGGGAAAGCTACTCAAAGAACACCAAAATACACTAAATGGGACTAAAAGTGCCTCTAGCGAAGTCAAAAAGTCACTTTGAGTACTTCTAGATTGGGAAAACTTGTTTTTGGATTCTATTTTACTCCGCTCAAAATGCACGTGGGCTGAGTGCGGAGACTGTTACTCACTGCTGAGGAGCACGGAAGACGATCCTCAGCCTGTAACTGAGCACAGCCAACAAGAGTGAGGCAAGACACCCGAGACGGAAACACCGCCGACCGCCTCGGCCCTGCCCAGCACAACATGTCTGCCTCGGCTACCGCCGAGTCACTCGCCAGCCCCGGCTCCCGGGCCGCTGCGAGCAGAAGGAGCCCGGGACGGGGCTGGAAAACAAAGCGCTCCGTAGTTCAGGGCCCGGCGGGCGGGCGGCCCTAGGCCCAGCGGAGGCACGGCGGGAGGCCCGGCCCGGCCTCGCCCCCCCGCCATGACTCGACACTTCCCGGCCAGGCCCGGCCGTGGCGGGGCGGGCGGCGGGAAGCGGCTCATCCCCGTTCCGGCGCCGCTTTCGCCCGCCTGGGGCCCGCGGGCCGCCCCGGGTGAAGCGGGCAGGCCGGAGCGGGCCCAGGCCGCGGCGAGGCCTAGGCCGCGGAGAGGCGGCGGGGCCCGCACTTACTCAGATCCCGAGGCCATGGCGCTGCGGGGAGGGGGAGAGGGGCGGCGGACGGCGGCTCCTCGGGGCAGGCGGGGAGTCCGGAGGGTCGCGGGGGTCGCGGGTAGCGGGCGGAGGGGTTCGGGGCGTCCGCGCTGGTTGAGCCTCAGCGCCGACTCATCGGCGAAGGGAGCCCCGCCCACGCCGCCTCGCCTGCCTAGCAACAGCGTGCGCCGGCCAATCGGAAATTCCGGCCGGCCGCCGTCTCGGCCAATGGGAGAGAGTGAAAAAGAAAGACCGAGGGCTCCGCCTGAGCCGCGCCCCTCTGTGTGCCCTGGCCAATCGTCACCAGCCAGGCGCCACTTTGTGCAGCCAATCGCAGCGCGGCTCACCCTTCGAGCGACAGCTGCCGCGAGGCCAATGGCGAAGAGCCACCGACGGGAACATGCGGGAGGGAAGTCCCGCCTTCACAGCCGCCGCTGATTGGGCGGCTTCCGAGGGCACGGCCAATCGGAAGGGGCGTAGTGCGCACGCGCACCTGTTCCCGCCATTCAGGGCAGCCTCGTTCCTGCTCGTGGTGGGGAAATGGTCGCGGCCTCGGTGGAGGCGGGGGGTGGGCCGTGCCCGCCTTGGCCCGGCAGCGACCTCCAGGCCACGCTGCTCAGAGCCCTATCCAGCCCACCCTCGAACGCTCACAGCGAGCTAGGGGCAGCCACAGCTTTTCTGGGCAGCCTTTGCAGGGCCTCAGCACCCTCACAGGGAAAAATTTCTTCCTAATACCGCATCTGACCGTGTCCTTTGTTAGTTCGAAACAGTTATCCCTCATCCAGCCAGTTTTATGTCATTGCCAAAAGCCCCTCTCCAGCGCTCCTGGGGCCCCTTGAAGGCATAGAAATCCTGGGGCCTTTTCCAGGCTGAACAATCCCAGCTCCCTCAGCCTTTCCTCAAAGCAGAGCTGCTCTATCCCTCTGATCCCCTTGGTGGCCTCCTCTGGGCTCTCTCCAGTAGGTTCCTGTCCCTCCTGTGTTGGGAGCCCAGGGCTGGATGCAGTGCTCCAGGTGGGTCTCAGCAGAGCAGGGCAGAGGGGCAGAAACCCCTCCCTGCCCTGCTGCCCACGGGGCTCTGGATGCAGCCCAGGATATGCCAAGGTTTTTCTGAAGGAATTACAGGTCAGAGCCCACCCAAAGCCCCTCTCTGTCCCAGCATTCACAGGAGGCTGCAGCAGCTCCTACCTTGCTGTCATGCCCTCTTTCTTCTCCCCTTACACCTTGGCCTTGCAGATCCCAAGCACTCCTTCCCTCTTGTGGGAGGGAAGGCTTGCCAAAGGCTTGGATAACGGGGTCAGGGGACCTTCCTCATCCAAAAAAATCTCCACCAGACACGGGGCAGGGACATGTGCTCCTTCACCCCTGAGGGTGAGGGGCCTGGAGCTGTGGCATTGGCACAGACCCTCAGGGCCACAGGGGACACGTAGTTGTAGGTCTGCACTAGTGCAGCATTGTGAATTTCAGACCTCTGAGCTGCATACCTCAGACAGAACCACTTCTCTGGGCTCCAAACCACAGTAACCAAGCAAAAAGCTGGTACACAAAGCACAGACAGGACAGACCACCAGGTCCCTGGAGCCTGAGTGCAGAGCCAGCCCCACCATGCACAGGGCACAGAGGATGAAGATATCTCTGCCCTTGATCTCTCAAACGTCCAGGGCACACAGCCCATGGGCTCGCAGTAGCTGGAGGCAGTGTCAAGGCCATAACTGCAACGTTTCTCTGGAAAAAGAGCATGGAAAAACCCAAAGCTAAACAGAGCTGAGTTGTTTATTAGAAAAAGAGATCTGTTTCCGAATCTAGCTTCACGACAAAGTAATTCTGAGTTTTGAAGGAGTTCTTAAAGGCCTTGTGCCAGCCAAGTGCAGGGAGACCTCAGCAGATGGGTATGGGGGGCATGACCAGGTCAGCTTGGGGTGTCCTGGGCTGCTGCCCCGAGGTAATCCTGTATGCTCCTGGCAAGAGCTTCACTGTGAGGGAACACTGCCTGCTCCAGACATGAAACCAGGTACAAAGGGAGGGGCCTGAAAGAGAGGGGAACATGGCAGCAGTGAGGACTGCAGCATTCCTTTGCCATGCCCTAAGACATTTGTTCTGCAGGTCCCCCTACGCTACCTGCAGCTCTGCCCTCCCCATTTGCTCCATGTCAGCTCTTCTGTGCCCCAGGGAGTCCCAGCAGAGCCACAGCCTGTGGCCCCTTGGAGCAGTCACCAGGGGAAGCTCCTTGGACCCTAAACTGCCCTCATGGCCTGACAGAATTTGCACTGCTGAGACCTCACCCACCCCTCTACACACCTTCCCTGCCCTTGCTGCTGCCCATCCTCTGCAGGGCAGTTCTGGGAGAACTTCTGCCACTGAGCAGCCGCCTCCTGCTTCCGGTTCAGCTTCCACAAGGCCTGCACCAGGTAGGAGGCAGCAGCTGGGTCACCTGCAAGACAGGAAGAAGGATCAGCCCTTAGCAGAGGAGGAGCAGGTCCCCAGCAGTGCTGTGGGTTGCAGGGCATTACAAAAGCAGCTCAGAAGCCAGACGAGGTCAGTGAGTGTAAGGGGAGGTGGTGTAATGGGGAGGAGGCAGTCCTGGCTGTGTCCCAGGCTCTGGTTAACCCCAGGGCTGGCAGCCAAGGCAGATGGCATCAGCCCTGGGGCACAGCCTGCCACACCTCTCTTTGGACACAGACTGGGGTTCTCCTTGCAGGCACGTCCGCACCCCCAGAGGGAGCAGCCAGGGGCAGGACTGGGACCAGCAGGTCTGACAGATCCTGGTGGAGCTCAGACCTCTTCAGCATGTCAGAGCAGGAGAGAACAGCCCTGTCAGCAGCACTAGCCGTGCCTTGGCTGAGCTCAAGACAGGAATGCTCCCTTTGCAGGCCTCTCTACTGCCAGGCATGGTACATGCTGCTTCCTCAGGTGAAGCACAGCTCCACTTCTCCGTTCTGGGAAAGCAGATCTGACTGGGAGAAAGTTGGCTGTAACTGGCAGGGGTTGAGGCAGGAAATTTCCAAGCTATCTGAGGGCACAGGCTGTTGTCAGGGTTCTGATATACTCCTCTGACAATAGTTTTGGTCTGTTTCTCCATGCCAGTGAGCTGACCGGGCCCCACAGAAGTATCTCTAGTATGTAACATTGCTAGTGGCCCTACTGTTATCCTTGACACCTGAATAAATGTGGTATAAAGCATAAGAACATCCAGCAAAGCAGCCCAGAACAAATTTGTGGAAATCCGTTGTGTTCCTCACCAAAATTAGCCTGTTACCTGGTGAGATATGCAAACTGTGCTGGAAATCCAACAGAGCTTCTTTGTTCCTCCCCAGCTCCAGGAACTGCGTACCTCGCCCGAGGAGAGAGAGCAACCTGATCTTCTGGAGCACCTCCACTTCTGGCTGGAGATTCTCTGCCACAGGAAGACACACACACATGAAGACAGCATCCTCCAGACGTTCTAGAACTCCCCTGTTCCCAGCAGGCTGAGCCAGGTTAGCAGTCAGGACAGGCCAAGCATTTCCTTGGGCTGCTCATCCTCCAGCTCTGGAGACAGATGGCAAAGCTCAGCTTCTCTGCCAGGCTGGAAGAGGTCGGGAGGCAGCAGAGGGGGAGAGTGAAGAATGTCAAGAGCCCAGAATGTTACACGGCTGTGATGAACAGTGACCTCAGCAGCAGCCTGGCCTTTGGCTGTTCCTCTGCACCACTGGCATGTATCTTTTCCCAAAAAACTGAATTGGAGAAGCTTTCCAGTACACAGCCCCTTTAACTGCTACCTAGGCAATGAAGGAGGCAGAGCCAAGGCCAAACTCTGCTCCAAAAAACCCCAGCTAGTCTCTTCAGAGGCTTCAGCATGGCCCAGAGCTTTGCACCCTGGGACAACTGCCTCTTGCCAGAGTGGTGCTGTGCCCACCACCTTGCCCTGCACCTGCTGCTCCCAAGCACACAGATCCTAACCCAGTCAGGGCCCCACACAGGTTCCACTTGTGTGGTGTCCTACCTGTCTGTTTGATGCCAGACCCATGAAGCTGGACACGCAGGAGATCACTGAGGCACCTGTGGGTGGGAGGCCAGAGGAGCTCTGGAGCCACTCCTGGGCTCTCAGGAGTGCCAAGTTGTCAGGGCAGCCCCAGTGCCATGCTGTGTCCTGCCCTGGCCCCACCATCCATGGCTGCCTGCTGGGGAGGCCCCTTCTCCCAGCAAGGCTTTATCACCTGCTGAACTGTGTTACAGCCTCCTTGCTCTTGCCCAGCTTGGCCCATGCCCAGCCCTGGTGCAGGTATCCAGCTGCTCTCCAGGCAAGGCAGCACAGGCTCTCCTTCTGCTGGGACAGGAGTCCACCTGCCAGTTCTGCCCCCGGCAATGAGGACTCTGACTGCTCCAGCCTCTGCTCCACTCGTAACACCTGTGGAATGAGGTCAGTTGTCCGGCTGATGACCTCCTCACACACAGTTATGGCATCCTGGTGCCTCCCAGCCTGCTCCAAGGCAGATGCTGCTTCCAAAAACACCTCTGGGATCCTGGGCAGAGCTGAGCTGCCATCCAGGGGCACCTGGGGAGCAAAAGTTACATCAGTGCTGCAGAACTGCAGAGTTCTCTGCCAAGCAGCATGACTCTGTTCATACTGAGAACATGGAGCTGCTGCCCAGCAAAGCTCAAGCCCTCTCCCACAGTCCTTAGAGCCTGGTGGAGCAGGCAGAAGATGGGAGGCACTCACAGCTCAGCAGAGTCAAGGCATCAAGTCCCTACTCTGGAAGTGAAGGACATCCAAAATCAGGCTGACAGCAGCTCCCCAGAGGGAAGGGGAAGCTGTCTCTCCAAACAGCAATGGTGAGTGCTCTCTGGTGTGAATCCAAAGGCAGACATGCCACAGGTGCCAGCCCCCACTTCATTTCCTTTACATCAGCCCCTACCTCATTTCCTTCACATCCCAAACTAGACACTGAAGCCTGGAGTCCAGGGCTGATGCCTGGGCCCAGCCCTTGGGACTGGGTTTGGGTGCCTCCAACCCTCATGTTCCAAGTCACCAAGGGAGCTCTTTACCAGGACACCCACCTGCTGCTGCAGCCCCTCCTGAAGGAGAGACAGAAAATCCAGGTAATGTTCCACTGCATCAGCCACCCTGCAAAGAACAGGACATGTGGTGGAAGGAGAAGTGCCATCAGCCCGGTGAAACCTGGATTGCCAGCCCGCAGTCCCTCCCTGCACCACACTGCCCTGTTCACAATCTCCATGCTTTGAGCAGGCCTGTGACAGCAGCACTGAACCGGACCATTTCCAGGAGCACAAGGAAAACTGCAGAGCCCAAACAAGCAGCATGTTGCAAGCAGAGCAGAGGCACTGTTACCTCCCATCCTGGAGACACCGCTGTGCCAGAAGGTACTTCACCTCCGAGGGGTGGTGACGGCGAAGGAGGGAAGTGAGTACTGGTGTGTGGACAAGCAGCTCTGCTTGCATTAGGAAACAGGGACTAGAGGAAGCAGCTGCTGGAAGGCTTTTTCCCAGAGCCTGTGAAACAGGAACAGAAAATATTATCAACATTAGACTGGTCAAGTCTCAGGCAGCTGTTTTGTCACTTCTGACATCTGGAGATGCACCCAGGCAAACAGAAGTGCTGCACTTCTTCACAAGCACAACTACATTGTTCTCACAGTGGCTTCCAGCAAGAGCCATGAGGATCACACAGGGGCAGGCCGTCTTCTGATCTCCACATGGCACCAGGAGATTTGCAAGATCACCCAGACCACCTCAGGTTTTTAGTTCAAGGTACTTTGAGCTGCCTGGAAGACCATCTCCCATTGCAGCCACAGACCTTGTTAGACCCGAGGAGAGAGCTCCCTCTCCTCTCTGTATGTATCTGACAGTTTTCAAACAGCTGAAGAGATAATTCAGGGTCTACTGCTGTGACCTCTCCCAGGCAGGTTCACACAGCTAATGCACTCTGACTCACTGCAGCCAAAATCTCCCCTTAAAAGTTCCTTACTATTATATACTTTACTATTATAAGAGATTGATACTTTCTGACCTAAGACTATAACCTCCCAAGCCACCACAAACATGAACTAGGACCCAAAATCTTGCCACATCCAAACGTGGTGCTGAGCAGGAATTTTAAATCTCGCTGGACTCCTTCCTGCCCATTTGCTGAAGGCAGCACCATGCTATTTTGGGGGCTCCTTCCAGGGTCAAAGAGCCTGGAAGTAGTCCAGGAGAAGGAAGATGCCTGCTTTGGAAGCTCTGTGCAGGCTCTGCTGAGCAGAACTCATCCCAGAACTACAGGAACCAGACAAACCTCGTAGAGCAGGGTCAGGGCCTGCAGCTCGGCATCGGTCTCTCCCAGGTCATGGTACACCACTGCCACGTGGGACAGGGCAGGAAGGCACTGGAAATCTACCTGGAGAGCCCGTTTCAGGTGCTGAAGTGCTGTCTGAGGCTTGCCCTAGGTGGATGGGAAGACATGCATGTTGAAAGCACATCCTGCAGAAGTCTTTACTATTTGGTAGCATCCAGATTCTCACTCTGCTTCCCCAAGAGATCTCCACTAAGCAGGGCAGTAATTTAGCCAAAGGCAGCCCTCCTCATGTTGGTTTTTGAGCTGCTCTCTCTGCAGCAACAACTTTGCAATCAGCCATAATCTTGTCATGGATTTTGCAGCCTGTCCAAGGAGACTGGGGCCACAAGGGCAAATTCTGCTCAAGGCCTTCCCTCCCTGAGAGGCCTTGGACCACACAGAGGTATCGTGGACATCAGCCTGAGCCTTCCCTCCCCACAGCTGCCTTTCCCCTCTTTGCTGTCATTACCATTTGCTGAGCACAGCAGCCAAGGCAGGTGTAGATCTGGGCCAGGATATTCTTGGAGCAGAATCCTCCTGCAGCTTCCTGAAGGAGGGAAAGGGCGGTGGGGAAGTTCCCAGCCTCCAGCTCCTGCAGCCCTAGGACAGACCCAACATACTGGCTCTGTGTCTCACTTTTGTGTCCCACCTGGCCCCAAACAAGTGTGGTGCCCTTTTCTTCCCTGAGCCATAGGGACTTGCCTGATCCCCTCCAAACCCAGTGATGCACAGCCCGATAGTGCTAAGCTGCCATCTTTGCTTGAGTGGTTTTGCAAGAGAACTAGCCATCAATGGAAATGTTCAGCAGGAATAACAGCAGCTGCCAAGCCCAGGATGCTTCCTTTGGCCCAGAACAAGGCCAGGGGTATGTGCTGGGCAGGTTCACCTCCACATTCATCCACAATGACAGCAGTGCAGATAGGGAAGCACACACAGAACTTCAGAATTTTTTCAGCACATCTGGGTCATTTCCCAGCAGGAATATCAATTAATTAATTAGGATATCAATTAATTAATATTTATTACAACTCCTTATTTGCCTTTTCTTCTTTTCAGGTTTCCCTCTAAGGCTGCTCTCACATAGCAGCACCACACTTCCATCTGCCACCTCCCTGTTGGAAGTGCTGGTGCCCCACCCTTGACTATTTTGGTCTGTGTGCCAGAGGTCCTGCCCTGCCTCCTGGCAGGAAGGCCCTGTAGGAGCCCAAGCACAGCAAGGCAGTGCTGGCTGTCCCCGGAGCTGCTGGGGTTGTCAAAACAGTAAAGGAGAGAAAACAGGCAGGACAGAACACAGCAGCCAGAGGAGATCCATTGCTTGCTGTGACACCAGGCGACAAAGCCTCACAACAGCTTTGTGTGACTCTTGCAGCACCATGATCTGACAGGAACAAGGTGCTTGCAGTGCTTGCAACAAGGCAAGTTCCAGAAGAAAGGAAAATCTTCATAAATCCCCTGCCAGCCTTCTGCTTTAAGGTCACTGCAGGGCCCAGACACTTCCCCTACAGTGACAGACAGGCAGAGGAACCCTGTGATAGTGCAGAGAAAGGATGAACTGGGGAAAAGCAGGGAAGCTTTTTGAATATGGAATGTAAAGGCTGAGACTCAGAGACTCAGCCCAGACCACCTTCCAAAGGAACAGCCCGAAAAATCCCAAGGGCCAGTTTGCTTGGGAAAAGGAACCAGGATAAGGGCAGGGAAAGGGTTCCTGGGACAGAGCAGCAGGAGACTGTGCTGGCCTGAGTTCCTGCCCCCCACAAACCTTGCAGGAAGGCTGCTGCAGTGCAGAGGATTTCCTTCAAGTCCTTGGCGCTTTGTACAAGGGGCAGGGAGGCCCCCTCAGGAGGGACCCGCCATGCCTTGATCAGGGAGAGGAGCTTGTTCTGCCCCTCACTGCAGTGAGCTCTTCCCAGGTCCTGTGAAGGCACAGAGGAGAGAGAGCAGGGAATGCTGAAGGGAAGCAGGAAACACTGGTCCAAGTGCACAGAGAAACAGGTCCCACCAAACCACTCAACCCTGCTCCTTGCAGTAAGAGCAATGTCCTACCATCTGTTCCCTTCAGCTACAACCCCCTTACTGCAGTGATTCCTGCCTGGCCTGGGGCAGCACCTCCCCACCTCAGCATGGGGTGTACCTCCAGGGCCTCCTGGCATGCAACAGGAAGCTGTTGGAGTTCATTCAGAAAGACAGGACCCATCAGCAGGGAAGGTTCTGCATCCCACTGCTGTTCCCTATAGAGTCTGCAAGTCCATCTGCAGCCCTCTTCCAGCCTGCCCAAGTCTCCTGTCCGCCACATAGAGGCTCAGGGCCCACACAGGCAGAATATTCTGGGATCCATTAACACTCTCAGGGCCATTAGGCTATGCTGGGATGCCACGGGGTGGATTAGTCATGCTGACTGGGCAGCACTGATGGGTTCAGCTGTCCAAGTGGCACAACAATATTTTGCTGAGTGAGTTTTATGACAAACACAATATTTATGCCAGCTCTGCTGGCATCTGCCTGTGCCCAGTTACCTCAGCAGTGCTCAGGAGCTGGAAGAGGCCAGCAACACTTCCCAGCTGGCTGGCTGCCAGCCACCAGGCTGCTTGCAGGGCCCCCAGGCGGTGCAGAGGTGCCTGCAGCTCCTCCACGGTTACCTCCTGCAGCACCTTTTCCCACAGCTCCTCCGTGCCAAGATCCTGTCCACAGGCCCCACAAGCCTCCAGAACTGAAAAAAAAAAAAAAAACCCAAGCAAAAAGACCTAGAGCTGTGAGACAATGTGTTGGTGCCCTGTAACAGACACCCTGGATGCAAGAGGGAGAGAAAGCCTCAAGCAAGCACAGGCTCCTCGTAGCGATGGAAGGAATGGGGTTGAGAGTTGGCCTGGCCTCAGCAGAATGGAAAACAAGCTCTAAGAGAGATGAGATAACAGCAGCACATTCAAGAGACAAAACAGAGCACAACTCAGAACTAGACTCCAGCTCTGCTGAGCCCTCTTGAAGTCATCTGACCTCAGATAAGCATGTGCCAACACTGCAGATCCACTTCTGAACTGCAGCCTGTTTCAGTGAGCTTTCTTTGAAGCCGGCACACCATAATTAAAGAAAACACTAATTTTTTACTGTCACTAAAACTTTGCTAGAGACTTGGCACCTTATACATTAAAAACTCTTGTTTCCCTTGAAACCTCCAGCCCATCCCTGCAGGCAGCAGCAGACAGGCAGCTGCACATTGTCCCTGGCCACATGCCACTACAGGCAGCTGCACATTGTCCCTGGCCACATGCCACTCTACCTCCATCCCTTACAGGCAGAGCATGGACGTCTGCTCACAGTTCCCCCCATCTCCAGCCTCTCCAAGCACAGCCAGGGGTGCCTGCCCACAGTTTCCAGGTGGAGCCAGGCATGTCTGCTCACAGCTTCCCCCTCTCTGGCCTTCCCTGGCAGAGCCAGGAGTGTCTGCTCAAAGTTCCTGCACCTCCAGCCAGTCACCAAGGATCTCCACAGCACAGAGAACGCTCTCCTCACCCTGAGAACTCCCCAAACAAAGAACCACATCCTTACCCCTGAGGAGCCCCTGGCGTATTCCTTCTGCTTCTCCTTTGATGGCAGAGTCAGATGCTCCCACAGTGAAAAGCAGGGAGTTGTAGAGGACAGTGAGTTCCAGAGGCAGGGCAGGGAGGGCAGCTGGCAGTCCTGTGGGCACAGCCAACCCAACAAGAAATTTAGCTGGCTAAGAATAAACAGCTCTCCATGCTCAACACCTGGCTTGGTGACAAGAGAAGTGGCTTGGCAAGAAGTTTTTAGTGATTGTGGTGTGATTTAGCCACCTGGGAACTGCAGTGCCAGACAGACAGCATGTGTCAGCACGCCAGGTGCTTTAGACATCCATTCCCCAGCTACCAAAATGCTGCAGTCTTCCAGGAGTTAGGCCTTTCAGCTCTCCCAGAGGAGCATCAACAGCCTACTCTGTTCCAGTACACATCCACCTTTTCACACACCTTGTTTCTCTCCTTATCACAGAATCACAGAATGGGAAGGGCTGGAAGGAACCAGAGTGGCTCATCTGGTCCAATCTCCCTGCTCAAGCAGGCCCATCTTAGAGCACGTAGCACAGGATCAAATCCAGATGGTTTTTGAGTATCTCCAGTGAGGGAGACACCAGAACTTCTCAGGGAAATCTGTTCCTATGTGCAGTCACGAGGGTAAAGTTATTCCTCATGTCCAGGTGGAATTTCCTGTGCATCAGTTCCTGCCTATTCCTCATGCTACTGCTTGGCACCACCGAGCAGAGCCTGGTCCCTGCTCTGACCCCTCCCTGCAGACACTGACAGACATTAATGAGGTCCCCTCTCAGTCACCTCTGCTCCAGACTGACCACGCCCAGATTGCTCAGGCTTTCCTTGTAGGAAAGATGTTCCAGTCCCCTAGTTATCCTCATTTCCCTCTGCTGGACCCTCTCCAGGAGCTCTTTGTCTCTCTTGCATTGAGGAGCTGAGAAAACTGAAAGTAAAGCTGCCTCATGTTTGGCTTTCTCTGCACCACACCTGTATCAGCCTCTTCCCTGACTTCCCACACAGAAAAGGCTGTCTCACTGCTGTTTTACAGAAACCCCAAAGCTCTGCCCAATTAAGGTGGAGTCTGAGGCTAGACAGTAACTCTTTTTCTGGCCCAGGTCAGCATAGGGCAACAGAGATCATTTCACCTTGGCTGGTTTCCAGCACTGGGATACTGTAGCTGAAACCGGAGGAGCAATGTTCATAAACTAAAACACGAGAACCTCCAACTCAGTTTGAGGAAGAACTTCTTTACACTGCGGGTGGCAGAGCACTGGAACAGCTGTGCAGGGAGGTCATGGAGTCTCCTCTCCGGAGACATCCAAACCCCACCTGGATGTGTTCTTGTGTCACCAGCTCCAGGTGGCCTTGCCTTGACAGGGGGGTTGGACTGGGTGATCAGAGATTCCTTCCAGTCCCGATAATTCTGGGATTAACTCTTTTGCAGCAGGCTCCGTTTAGCACTGGGCAGCGGGAACCCTTTCACCCCGCCGCCTTCAGCGTTTGTTTCCTGCACCGGGACACCGGAGCTGCATCCCGGTAAGCAGAGGTGTCAGGGAGCCGGTGCTTCCACGCCCACACGCTTCCGGCCCGGGACAGCACCGGGAGGTGAAGGCTGGGCAGGGCGGCCGCCACTCACCGCGGATGCTCCGGAGCAGCTCCCAGAGCTCGTCTCGCAGCTGCCGGCAGGCCCGCCGCGTCTCTCCGCCGCACCGCACCGTCTGCAAGGGACGCACTTACCGCCGGCCCGGCTGCGGAGCGGCACCGGCGGCAGCCCTGCGCCTCAGGGAAAATGAACGGGGGCGGGGGGGGAAGGAAGAGGACGTGCCGCACCGTCCATCGCCCGACCAGCTCCTGGCTGCGGGCGGTCCAGGTCCGCAAGCAGCCCCGCTCCGGCTCCGGGCCCGGGTCCGTCCCGCGCCGCCGCTTCATGGCTCCCGCCGCTTCATGGCCGCCGCCATCGCCCGCCGCCGCCTTTCCCGCCCTCGCCGCTGATTGGCGGGAATGGCCGTCACCAAGGCAACAGGGAAGCGCGGGGCCGAGGGGGTGCGCGCCGGGAAGGGGGAGGCCGCGGAGGGACAAACCTCGGCGCAAAGCGAAGCCAGCAGTCCGAGGGTCTGGGTATCAGATGAAAGGTGGCATTTATGGCTCTAAGGGCTTGCAGGGTCCTAGTTGGTGGCAGCTTCAGATTTGGAGAAATCCAGCAAAGTCTGCCAATTTCTAGCTTGGCACCGCCCTGTCGGCCACGGCGAGTGGCCCAAACGGAGGCCATTTTCCGTGACCCCGAGCTGGAAGGGTCCTGTCAGGTGAACGGGTGCAACCCCTGGCTCCGTGCAGGACCCCTCAAGAACCACCCACGTGCGCTGCCCAAACGTTTGTTGAACTTCGTCAGGCTTGTAGCCGAGACCCCTACCCTGGGGAGCCTGTTCCAGGGCCCGACCACTCTCCCAGAGAAGTCTTTTCCTAAACCCCCAGAGTCTTGAACCCCAGCTCAACCTAAGGCTCCTCTGACACAGGTGCAGGCCATTCCCTCGGGTCCTGTTGGTTCCTGCAGAGAAGAGATCGGTGCCTAACCCTCCAGAAGGAAATTCTAGATGAAGGTCCCTCTGAAGGAGACGCCAGATAGGTTGGGGAGAGGGAAGGAACAATGAGGTGACACAGCTCTCCTTGCCTCTCACCGTTTTATTTGCAGACATCATTTTCACAGCTGCCCAGAGCCCCGTGCCACCCTTGGACAGCAAATCACGGCTCCCCCCTATTCCCGATTAATTATGCAATTTAACACCGGAGCAACCCCTTCCTGGCTGCCTCATGGGATCGGTCGTGCCGTGCCCAGGGCGCCAGGTGAACAAGCACAGCCAACTTGCCTGTTTTGGAGGGTTTTTTGAAAAGAAAAAGGCTCTGCTTCCCAGCAGAGACTTGAGCATGGCTTCCACCTTCCAGGTGTAGCTGCTGGATGTGAATGAAAGCATTGACAGCCAGATATGTAGATACCCAGGAAAGTGTAGCACCATGCTGCATGCAGAGCTCCCAGGTTGCTTTCCACAACTGGGTCAATCCCCTTTTTTTTTTCCCCCCAAATGAGGGACTGAGGTACAAAGAGGTTAATAAAAAATAAAACAACAATCTTGCTCCAAGCCAGGTGGTGCACTGAGTCAGGGTTCAGAGGAGAGAGCAGGGCTCCCCAGCCCTGCTCCCACACACTGGCACTGCTGCTTCCTGAGGGGAAGGGGGGACATGCACACCGAGACTGGGACTGTGCCTTGGCATAAAAAAGCAGCCTGAAGAGTTGAGGGAAAACCAGAGAGAAATGGGACAGAGGAATGGCTGTGGGAACAGAGCTGGAACGAGCCCTGGGCTCCCCAAAACAGTGCCATCCCTTGGGATCCGTGTTAGCCCCACAGACCAGAGCTGCGGGTGCTCCCAACACTCACAACTCTTCACAGTGGCTGCAGTTTTTGGTCACTATTTTCTACGCAGCAAAAAAGAGACACAATTGAATTTTTGTTCTGTGCCAGGACCATGGGACACACCATGGGCCTGAGCCAGGGAAGTTTCCCAATGGCTCTCCCCTGCCAAGAAATACATGCACAGCACTTGCAAAGCCCAAAGTGCAGAAAGATTGTGAAGTGCAGGATGAAAACTGCTCAGCTGAGCACTCTGTCCCCTGTCACACTCAGCCCAGGGACAGAGGGACCAGAAATAAACTGCCTGGCATAACCATTCTAGGAGAGCCAAGTGGGGCCCTATGCCCTCTTGGGAGGGATGTGGGGCAAAACCTCCTCCCCAGCACTCCAGATTTCCCAAAGAGCCTTGGTTTGGACTAGGAGTCAACCCCCTCCTGGGGTTTTAAATCAGCAAACACAGCCCTGTCTGCTCTAGCATCAGCAGCATGATCTGCTTCCAAGGTCACCAGGCCCTAGACTGGCATTAACTCTGTAATCCCCAGCATGCTCAGAAGAATGGCAGCCAAACAATCAGCTTGAGGGCAGCTGAGGAAGGCTGACAAAGACTGAAACAGTCAATGAAACGAAGCAAGAGCATCTCCAGTCCTTGGAAAACTCATCTTCGTGAATCTGAAATCTTTGGTGTAGCAGCCAGTCTGCCGTGTCCAAGCAGCCAGCACTCCATGGCATCTCTGCAGTGACAAGGATGCACTTGCAGCTCTTCCACTGCAAGTTTTGTTTAGTCTCTGGTGAGATAAGTGTGTCCTTCGATGAGGCTACAGCTCTGCTGTTCCCTCTGCTCTCCCTGGCCTCCCGGGACCATGAGCCCACACATGGCAGAGGGGTGGCATGGAGGGGTGAGGAGAGGATTCCCAAGCCCCATGTGAGAGCTCCAGCCATGAACAGTGGGCATGGGAAGGCTCAGCTGCACTGGAGTGACCAGTGAAAAGAGAAACAAGCCCCAGAGATGGAAGCCAAGGGGCCTGGGTGGCAGCTGTAGGACATCAGGGGCCAGTCCTACACAATCAGTGGCCACAAGGACTTCTGCCAGCACAAATACAAGCAGGCAGAAAGCTCCTGACCAGTTATGAGGTTACAGGAAGACCAATTTGAGCTCCAGCCTTGAGGTTTAGCAATGTGTGTTATCCAGATTAACCTCACATTAAATGAAAATTTACTGGGCAACTCCTACCTCCACCCCCTTCCTCCTCCCCATATCAATGCACCTCTTGTTCCTTCAGAAGCATATGGCCACCAGGCAGTCAGATTTCAGCAAATAACCTATTTTTAAGGGTGCCTAAGCCCATTTTAATTGTAGGCTGATGAATTCCTGTAGATTTCAGCTTCCCTCACTGTTTGCCACTAGCCCTTCCTTGTGCTAGCACTGGTGGTGTGCATCTAGGCAGTGAGGCAGGCCAGGGTGTGATGCCAGCTACAAACCAGCCCCTGCTTGTGATGGGTGAAATTGAGCAGGACCACAGAGCAGAGGACATGAGAGGCTGAGGTAGCAGGGCATGGCCAGCAGATCAGGAGCAGGCCAGGCAATGGAAACCTAATACAAGAACAGTTTAAGCCTCACTGGAATTGTATCTGAACAACTGTGCAGGCATTTTGCAGGGGTAAAATACAAAATTCCACCTGCCCTCAAGAGCCACAGCAACTGGGCACTTGGGAAAAATGGCAACAAATGAAATCATGAGAGAGATTTTCCCTGGGACTCTGCAGGGCAGAGGAGCAGAAAAGCCTGGAGTTATGCTAACAGTCTGCAGTAAGGGACTCAAAGAGGGGCAGTCATGGTGCATGAGTTAAAAATTAATGGGATTGGGCAAATATCATTGCAGAAATCCCAGGCAAGCAGTCCTTGTCTGGGACTTGTCTGGAAAGAGACAAAAGGTTTCATAGCACCAAGTAATGCCACACAGTGGTTCAGGGCAATAAGGAATCCCAGTTCCAATGGAAACTGCAGGAGGAATTGAGTTGGGATGTGGCCAGGCACCATGGTCACCACCCTCTACCTGTGCCCATAAAGAAAGAAACACCATGCCTCCTGACTGTGAGCAGTCAAGGGCATGTTTGGCATAGCTTACTTGTGACATGAAGTCTCACAGAGAATGCCAAGGCCAAGGGGGAGACAAGCCCCAAACATGGGATGATGGATGTGATTGACTGCATCTGATCCACAGCACCCAGCACACACACACAGACATCAGTAAGTTAAACCACTTCCCAGAAGAATTGGTGCCTGCTCCAGGCTTTCAAGTAGCTGTTCTCAGCCTCTGTAGCTCTTCTCCAAGAGAAGCTACTCCTGCATCTGGGACAGCTACTCCAGCTACTTCCTATTTCCTGCTGGCCAGGCCCAGCATGGGTGTAAGCCCATATTGTGTCACTACATCCTCCTGCATCTTAACTGTTCACAGTAAACAGCCAGCATCCAGCAGCACACAGGCAGGAAGAGATCAAGAGCCTTGGCTGCTACCACCCAGCCCACAGGGACCCGGACAGGTTGAGAACAGAAGTGGAGAATTTCTTGGTCTTGCACACAGCTGTCCCTGCTACCATTGGCCCAAGCTAAGCCTGCTGTAGAAGGCAGCCCAGAGTGCTCCCCACTGCACTTCACAGGGCTGAGGGAACCAGGAAAGTGGGACTGAGTGCAGGGCAAGAGAGGCCTCACTACAGAGCAACTGTCTGACTTTACAGAGGAGTAGCTGCCACCGAGGCTCCAGGAACCATGTGCATGGAACCATGTGCAGTGTGATTCCAGTGTGAAAACCGAGCATGTGAAAACAAGTGGGGGCTGTGGGACATTCCCTCCCCTTCCAACCTCCTCTCTCCTCCTCAGCTGGCTTCATCCCGTGAGTCTTTGCACAGTCAAAGTGACACCTTGCTGGCCACTGAAGCCTACCAACTGCACATCGTGGAAGGCATCAGGGAAGTACCAGAAAGACCCCCATTGGTGTTTCTCCAGAGGAGCACTTCAGAACTCTTGCTTCTTGGGCTCCTGCAGCAGAGTCCTCCTGCTGCCAGCAAAGCCCAGAGCGAGAGCTCTGACCTCCCCTGCTGAGAAACACCATCCCCATGAGCCAGGAGCAGTTGGCTCCAGTCCTTTTGTTCAGCACAGCAGCAGGGAGCTGGGCAGAATCCCTGGCTGCTGTGGGCAGGCACTCGTTTGCTGGCGGCTCGTGTACCCCTGCCAGCCTGAGGGAGGCAAGGAGACAAGCACAGCCTGGGCTCCCCACGCCTCCAGGGCTACCTCAGCCGGAGCTGGCTGAACCAGGTGCTGACGGCACAGTCCACACGCATCACCAGGGAGATCCCCAGCAAGAGGCAGATGCTGCTCACCACAAAGCCCAGCGACTCAAAGAGGAACCTGCAGGCACAACAGATGCAGTTAAGGATACAACAGCCAGCATGACTGCAGAGACAGGATGCTACCCTCCAGTGGACTGATTTTCCTGACAATGAGAGGCTGGTAGCATCCCACATCCT